CGGTCTGGAAATCCAGTCGACATAATTTGCACTCTCCCTCACGCAATCCGTTCTGGGCCTAACCCAATATCGCTATTGATTTTGCCTCAGCCAATAACAATAAAGACGGGCTTAATATCCAATAATGTGGTATCAATGGTGTGGGTCGTACTGGGCTGAGGTGTCAGTACCAAACTCGCTGGAAAATATAAGAGCACACTGCGATACAGTATCAACTCACCGTCACCATGGGAACGTCAAGAGAGAAACGGGAAAGCAATATGGCCGTTTGGAGGGTCTCCCTCCTGAGTGTTATAATGGCCGTCGTATCAGATTCCGCATATCCCCGGTGTCTCTGCTGCAAGATATCGACCGGACCCACGCTGCTTTCTTCGCCGGTAAAGGTCGCGCGGGTGCTGGCACAATGACGGGAAATTTCCCCCATTCAAGGGGGCTGTCGATCGCAACAGATACGGGTGTTATTGGACAAATAAGTCCGGGCGATCTACTTGATCGCAAGTGAGAGACGATACCAACGGGGGAAACGCCAGTTGATTTGCCGCTCTCATTCGTCTGAATACAGCCGTTATTTATCTATCCCCGAGCTATTAATACAACCTCCCGAGTCCTCCGATGGCTGATGTTCTCTTCATCAACACCATGAATTCCTGGCCACAGTCTGCCAAACAATGGGTTCATTGGACTTGTCTCTTTCATACATTTGTTATTCTTGCTATTTCTGTATGGTCTTTTTGCGTTTAGTGTAGCCCTTTTAAAATTCAGATACATGTCACAATTTTTCTCTCCGAAAGGAACAAGAAACACGCATAAATGCGCTGATCCCACAACTGGTGGACTGGGCTAAAATGGTGTTCGTATAAGAGCAATATTTGAAACTGTTGAAACATCCAAGGTGAACTAATTTCACTTTATTTCCTCTTTGTCAAGTTTGCTAGTGTGGCAAGTTACAAATTCATTAAAAACAAAATGGAGTGAAAGATTTGACGCTTTTACACGTCGAAGGATAACTGTTGTTTATAGACTTCAGTGCATGATGGTCAGCAAAATAATCATTGGAATAACATCCATGAGCAAAACATCACACAACACTTCAAATGGGATTTTCGTAGTTGAACGGGTGCTAATACATGTACACAGAATGGCTGCAGTGTACATCGTAGATCAAAGGAAAACTATTCAAAGACATTGCTTTCTCCATTTCACAAGTTGACTTTTAAATATCCCATTCATACTCCTAAGGCAAGCATATAAACACTGTGTACAGCTCTCGTATACTGAAGGAGTTTGGATCCACCCCGCAATGTACACACGCGATCACAGACTACACAATTGTAATCTTGTAAAATTCTAACATCACCGAGGTCAGCTATCTTAGACAAAAGTTTAGGGTCCTCCTTCCGATCTTTGTTTAGATCTCTGCGGTTGTGAATACCCGGGAATTGTTGACAGCAGATCCCGTTTTGCACAAACTCTAGGTCTTTCCGTTAATTCTTCTTGTGCGTAAAAATACTAAAACTGGTGAAATGGAGTATAGCCTAGGCTGTTGAGTTCTGGATTTGAATGTAGATGTAATAGTCTGTCTGATTTGTAGTCAATATTATTACTTACCATTTAAAAGAAACGTCTTGGGTTGGCCTTCTCGATTATGTTGATCAAATTTAAAAAGTACTGATGGCATCCTCATATTGAATTAGAACTAACAAATAAACCAGATGACCACTCGCAGTGGTGCAACAAGGATTTGTCGGGGGGCTAGGACCAGAATATAGCCCCCCCCCCATAGCTTGTGATTGTCAAGCCTTGCCCCCTCCCCCGGTTGTGCCACTGGGGACTAGAACGTACGGCCAAATCAGAGCCAGCAGTAGTATTTTACGGTGTATCTGTGTAGGTTTTCATATCTTCCTTTTTTACCAAAAGTAAACGAAAAACAAAAGAACTTAAACCTTGGTGTGGCCCTGACCACGCGACTCCTTGCAGTTGGTGTAACTACGCTATCAATACCAAATCATAGACTCCTGAGACTTTCTACTGCCCCGTCCCAGTAATTAACAGATTTATCTCATCACCTTTATTTTCAAAATGGAAATCCAAGAGCCTTTCTCATCCAAAAAAGGGCCATGTTCTTAGAAAACATGATTTGGATTTCTTGTGATCTTCAAGTCTGTGCATCTCCAAGAACAGAAAATACTTCAAGTGACTCTGGAACCGATGAATGATACCAACATCTTGAAAATGGGAAGCGTTGTTTAAGTTAGACTAATTTGAAACTAAACCCCCATTTCCTTAACATTTTGACAATCAGCAAACTTTCCACAGGCTTCATTCCATAACCCCAAACTGTATTGACACGATTTACATAAAAAAATAACTGCTACCAGTGTCTTTACTCAAAAGTCCCTCTAGCAAGACATATGCATCCCATGTGCTTTTGCAGTATATGAAAAGATGTCAAACGGTCTCTACTTCAATTTTACGCAAGAACAGACATTATCAGATCACAGTCCAATTTGATAAAGGAAATACTTGGTCAGGTTTTTTCTACAGGATTATTATTCCAAGTGCTCTTTCCGACGTTAGTCCAATCCAAAATTTTCTCGTTGTGTAAAATGTCTTCCCATTTGTTTTGAATGGCTGGAACAGTTTGATACAACACACCGAGAAATCTGTATCATCGTTATCTCAGTTGCTGTAAGAGACACTCAGTCAGTTTCTTACATGATTTATTGGACTTGATGATGCTCCTGAGATAAGAAGCTACCTGCACATCATTAATATTTCTATCATGACAATTTCAGAGTATTTCTTCAAAGGACAAAACGAAACCTTCTTAAACTTGGGTGAATCCGCCCACGAGTTTTGCTGTTGAGCACTATTCCTGAAAATGCCAGTCACAACATCACTGTTCCATTTGGGGTTCATGACTCATTTCCCTTTTACTTAAAAATACTACCAACCAACTTTTCTGAAAGCCCAATGTGGTCTCTATAAAGGGACAGGTCGTACGAGAACGTTTAGTTGAAGAGGTACCAAAGTATCATCCTCACTCGTTTCATGACTTGTTCCTTTTCGACATAGTGAACAAAACGTCGGCTGGAGGTTGCGTGAACTTTTCTTAATAAAGTAGACAGGCAACAACTCCAACCTTTCTTAATCAAAGGTCGGGGTTATTAGGGGGCGGTACCCTGTTGGCTGAGTTCGCATGAGCCCCAAGAACATTGTACGCGGTTTGGATACTGTACACGTGTTGGCATACTTGCCGTCTCCATTAAGACCGCTTATCATCTCCGACAACAGTCCATATGCATGCACGTCGTCCGACCGCCCGCTTGAGCCATCGTTTCGTCTGTATCAGCGAATGAACTATATTAATGCAGCGAGTCAATAAATACCCACGAAAAATACTTAAAAACAATATCCGAAACTTAATTAAGTACATACATGTGTTTTGCACTGACAGAATAAACTGTTGAATGAACCGGCGAAGAACCATGGCAGAGCAGTATTGTGCAATAACGTACATGTTGGTTCTTTAAGCCTTTAATATAAAAGCTTTCAATACGCCGCTCTTTTCGGGATTTGGCCCAAATATTTGGTGGAGACATTTCACGGTTTGGATGGCGAAGTTGGCAAAAATGTCATATTTACATTGACAATGTGAAAGTAAAGCTCTTAGGTCTATGCGCTGGCCTGGTTTCTGTGTTCTGTGTGACATCAGAAAACGTTTTCAAGTTTGTCCATGCAAATCTATAACTCAATACACAGAACCCAAACTTTAATGTACAGAAAGCGGGTGAAATAAACATTTCGCGGATGGAGCAGAAATAGTCAACTGAAGCTGGGTATTAAGTGTTGATATGACAGACTAAATGGAGCAATTGGATAAACTGGACAATTGGCATGAAAGGCCACTTATTTCCCGTTCTATTTAGCATCAATTTTTTGAAGGTTTCTGATTTGACTTGTCTTAATTTCAAGTTGCGGGATTTTCTTCTTTTCCTGCTCTCCCGTTATCGTCAATCCTCTGCCACATAGGTCTCAGAATATGAAAACATCGTTTACAATTCGTGTGAATAGTGGATTTTCAAAACCGACAGTACATGCCGCAGGGTATGTTCCTTTCTATTGACCAAAGCTTACACTGTTTCACCTCTCGTCATGTCTTATCCTGTTCATCTCACTGTTATATCCTCATTTCGCAAGGTCAGTTTCTGCAGTTTCTGAAAACTGGATTTTGGGGCGTCCAGTAAGCCCATGGCATTCTCATAGCTCATCATCATCCGCTGCGTATTTTGCCTGACTGCCACACGATCTCATCGGCGTCCTACAATTCGTGAATACCCCAAGTATCTGCTTCCAGTAGATCGTATCTCTTGTTGGTCAATATATAAACCGCTGTCCTCTCCTTCATAATACTATTTAGATGATGGTCTCTCCAAATATAAAGATCCAAGAGGGACATAATATTTGATTTATGATGGCAAATTCGTAATTTTCGCCTTCCCACAAGGGCCCGTAGGCACGAAACTGTGCTTGTCCGCTGCCCACGGAGGATAGAAACGTGTCATTCCCCTGGGTAACGTATCCATTGTTTGTTCCGCGTTTGCCGCCTCTAGGCGGAGAGCAAATTGGATATTTCTATGATCGGAGTCCAAATTCAGCAAGATCTAGTTCCGCTGGATATATCTTTGCTCTGCTAATATACACAAAAGTCCGGGATCGCCAATCTCCTCCCGGGCCCATTGTGCAAACTGTATGTCCCTTAATTAAAATACTGTTTATGAAAGTGCAATTTCAATAAGAAGGGAGAGAGGTTTTACCCCTAATATACAGACACTCCAAGGCCACAGTATCGATGTGAAAAACGTGTTTCGTACAGTAAGAATTCTTGAATTAAAAGGGAGGTTCCAAATTAAACTTTCTTGACTAATTGGATACTTAAAGAATATAGGCGTGAAATCAACCTTGCGAAGACACCTTTAACCAAGCAACGCTCTGAAAAGTTGTTGAAGACAAATTTCTGCTTTATAGTTTTATTAATTTACATTACCAATGATATGTACAACAATAAGCCTGAAGTAACAATCCCTGAAGTACAGGGTCTTATACTGCACAATTAGATAAAACAGTGGAGGCTTCTTCAATCCAAATAGCCAAAGATTTAGCATACGGCATATTTATTAATTTAATAATGCCTCAGCACAGCAAGTGATCATGATCCATACTCAATCACAGTAGTTTGGCTTATACAATTAATCGCCTGCAGACTTATAAAATGGTTTTACTTGTAGAAAAGTGCGGGTACTCAAATTACGCGGCAAGCCTATCTGATCAATCTTAAAAGCGGCGTATTCATGAACAGCACCATGCGACCGGACAACATCGTCAATTTCCACTTACTCTTGACTTTTTCGCTTTTTTGAAGGATTATGGCCCTCTTAAAAGTTTTCAAAGTCTTATTTCTTTCCTAAATTCTTACTCCTGATGAAGTTCATATCTTTTTACCATCCTAAGAAAATTCGAACTCCTTACTCTACTCCTAATTGTATTTTGTCTATTTTGTCTCCAATTTCTTATACTTTTCTCCAGAAAAACAAAATAAAAGTTTGATTTGATTCGGCATTTTTCCAGCTTCATAGTATGAAGTGAATCTGAGAGCCAGTCAAAACAACCCAGATGAATAACGAACAAACAAAACAAACAAAAGCATCTCCAAGTGACCCTTTAAATTTTCTTACGTCAATCAGGTGCGAAACGTAACGAAACTAAATGATTACAGGTATTGATTGAAATATCCTTTAGGACTTATTTCACTTCAGTCGATTCTTTTATCTGCAATAAATGCTCTGCCGAGATAAACTCCCTTACAATTTGCTGATGTACACAATCATTAATTAACGTACAATTTTCAAGCGGCCGGGAATAATTTCCACCATTTTCTCGTAACTCCTACTCAGTCTGCATGGAGCTGAGAACGGGTGTGGTTTTTACCAGAACACGCCACTGTATGTTTTTGCGATAGACATTTTTATCTTTTCCTTTTTTCTAAGTGTTTCCTTTTTTCCTTTCCTTTTTCCTTATCGACCTTAACAAATCACAAGATTGTTTTGTTCTCATGTGATAAGAAATTTCGCATTGAAACAGGTCTCTATCAAAATAACTGCCTCTAGACAAATACATTTTTGTGGTTTATCTTCTATTTGAAGTCTATCTGTCTGCATTCATTAGAGTCAATGGGTTGCCATAGGAATATCTTACGAAGCAGAATGTACAGTAGGATGATAAGCCATTCACCCATTCAAAGAGTCATGCAAACAAGAGGTGATGATAACGTTTTTGTTGTGAAACTCATCAGCTAAATTACTGTAGATTGTTCACAATTACCGGTTTCAGGAGGTTCTTTTGAAATCATGCAGACTGGCAAGAGGACATTATAGGTCGTAATCGGTATCGAAAATCTCCAAAAGACTCGGTAACTGAATAAGCGACATGTGCACAGTTTCCAACAAACGGCCAGCACAGTGCGGGAAATTTGTATACTCAGACATTACAAAACCATCTTTATCAGATGTGCTTAAAAATCAAAGTTAACCCATTGTGCACAACCTCGATGAAGTCAGTGGTGGTCCTTAGTGAAAGACAACTTAAAATTCAAAAGTTTTCCTACTCCGAACAGCAATAAAGAGGTTTTTGTTAAAATTCATGATAAATTTCACTCACTTAACAAAGTTGCAGAATTTTACAGTCGTTAAATGGAATCTTTGAGGGTTGCTTAAAAAATGTACCAGCAGGTTTAACACCCGTCCGACGAAACCTTGGTAAGTAGATGCAAGACTAATTAAGCGGCGATTTTCTCTGCCGAACTATTTCAACTTCCTCTAACAAATCATGGCGTAACATTTTGTGGATGATACTAATTCTTTGCAGCGGCCATGCCAAAACAGAGCAATGCATTCATCAGTATGATTTTGCTGACATATTTTGAATGAGCGCAAATGCACCTCTGTCGAGGACACGAGTGTTATGAAAAATTTATACCAATAGTAAACTTCAGTATTTAAACACTGAATGCAAGAGGCATCATGTACCGGGGTGTTTTCCGTTAAAAATAGAGAAGACCGAGTTAAAGGTTTGGTGACTAAATGCAGTCATTTGGTATAGATACCCAAATTCAAGAGGTCATTTGAATGTGTGCTTACAATTTTACCCAAAAGAATTCTAGAAAAATCAATTGTCCCTGTTGAGCTGGAGGTTTGTTGTGATCTCGTTTTCTTTACTGCAGACAGAGAGTGTGGTTACAAGAAAAACAGGCAAAATATATCGTTCACCGTCCACAATATCCTTTGGTGAGGAATTTGAGAAAGTCGAAGTCGCAACATCATTCTTTCAAGAGATCCCCAGCGTCTTGTATCGGCTCTTGGATAAACATTTTCGCCTCCTTGACACCTGTCACAGAAGAAAAACAACAGAAGAAAAACAGACGCCAAATCAATTAAGAAATTTCATGTTACCAGAGTTTACATATACGCAAATAATCATCAAAGACACAGCATATGAAATGAAGGACCGAAACAAGATTACAGGTTGAATAATAAATAGTTTTCCTTCGGGTTTTATACCAAAGTGTTTTACCAAATCCAGAGTGTTTTATTCAGAATCGTGTCCTTAACGGGGAAGTTTCTGAAATTATACATTTGCAACACTTTTGGGAAGCCATGACAGCCTTCAGACTCTAATCCTGTTTTTCTGATGTATTAAGGTTTGGCATATAACAAGCACAGAGTTCATTCTCCGTCCCTGACCCATGATGCTGGTAAACCTAAGCATGCTCCCCAGAAATAGATTGTTTGTCCCAGGCTTTGCCTCACCGCACCCATTACAGCGCCTTGTGCATGGATGCTCACGCACAAAAACTGAACTTAAACGAAAACCATTTTTCTGAGTATAAAGGAAACAGGGAAATAATAGAGATTTTTCCCCCGAAAGCCGGCTGGATGAAAGGCAGTCGGTAGACCGAATAAATCAACCCATTTCTTGTTTGTTAAACTTTGTTTAAACCAGGAACTTAAAATTTAGACATTCAAATGGAGACGAGACACTTTTTTTCATGCGAACAAATGTTTCGAAAAACTTCATAGTTTCACAGTTACTCCTTTTTTAGTTATATAACTTTATAGGTGGACTGCTTTAAAAATCAATGGTGTTTCCTCTTCGTTTTATTTTCCTATGTTTTGTCTGTCGTGAATGTATCACTGCGAATTTTTATTTACTAGCTCAAATGTATTTGTTATTATAGTTCGCCAAATTCTTATTAAATGGATTCAGAGGTTCCATTTCCCAAGAACTGCAATTACGATCAAGCATATGCATAGATCCTTTCTGTCAACTACTCCTCATTTAATCTTACATGTAATGTTCCCCTACTTCAGAATTTTAGTCCTACATGAAAGATAGGTAGAGGATCCTCCCGTGTTATTTTTGCCAACCCATACCAATCTTTTAGTCCTGAAGAAGAAAGTTATTGGAGTTTCTTTGCTACAAAGAGTAACGGCCAACTCGAAGCTGTCAACCATGGTGGCGCTCAACCGATTGGACCACTGATGTTACATTTCCATCATGAGCAGCTAGCATCTACGATCCAAACAAGGAAGACCTTATAAAAAATTCAGCAGCAACGAATGACATCCCTCATGTTAAAAGTAATGACAATCGTTTAATGTTGGTATCATCCATGATAATTCATTCACGATCGTCAACTGAGCATTGTGGGAGTTTCCCACTCCCAGGTTTGTTTCAATAGATCCTTTTCTCTTAAATTGCCATCAAATTTAAAGGTAGGGTCAAAATTCCTACACCAGACCAGGGTTTTCATCGCCACTTTTCCAGTCATTCACTTTTTTACTTTCGAAATGCGGTTTTCACGTTTTTCATTATTCCCTTGTCAATATCCCGCAGCTATGAGAGAATCACTTAGTTGGATTTCTGCATTCCTTTCAGAACTCTTCAGGGGTCACGACCTTTGCGACTGACCTAGCCTCGCCTCAGGCGTTCTACCCACTGCAACCGGGGCTACCAACCCCAGAACAATGGGGCCCGAATACCGGATTTGATGAACATAACAAAGCGGCTGGTTCCAGCGTGTCTGGTGCAAGGGTATTTCTTGGCAGGATAATTGATAAAGGGAGTATTTGCCAGGCGTTGGGGGTGTATTTATTCGAGGTCACAACTCAACCACACAATGATGGATTTTATAAAGTCCGACGGATGACTTGGTACACCGAAACTTTGAAAGGGTGGCATGGTCCATAGCACACGAATGGCGGCATGATTCATAAAACTTATTTAAGCCATGTTGGGTTCCATGACGCACATTCGCAATTAGCTTGAATTAAATATATGTGCAGGGGACGAGACACAGACATCACACTTTGGTGTGCTACTTGCCCCTAGGCACATATGCGGAAAAAAATACATTCTAAGAAAAATCAAACCGGTGCTTAATTTTAATTCGTGCTGAACATACATCGACATACATGGAGTTTCATTTGATTGGGATTTTAAATTTCGCGATGCATGCTTTCAATTTAATGGAACGCTGTACTCCAAATATTTGTGTGTGGTACACAGTGGTTACTTTAAACATGTGATTTTATATAATGTTAACATGCACAACATCGCATGCAGTTGAAAATTCACGGGTCTGAAAGTTACAACCTTGTCAAAGAAGAAATAGAAGGTAATCATGTCACTTATTCGAAAGCAGCTGCAAACATGGACATCCCAGTTTGCACTAAGATCACTCAGTCAGCAATTCTAAGATTTCATGTTGGCTAAATAGGCAAAACTGCTGCTTGAACAGTCAGGTGAGATTTCCGGGGCTTTGCCGGCTCTATTTTGACCGGATGCACACGCTTCATTCCCGGGAACGTTGCTCTCACGTGGCAGGGTGTGCTGTTCCAACGTCCGGGTGAATAATGCCTTGTCCAAAACTAACGAAAATTCCCTCTAAACAATATTTCCGCAGTAGATGTGGTTTTGAGATTCAAGAGTGACACTACATACTTAAAATATTTCACTTGAAGCTTATAAATTAATTTCGGATTTCAAAACTTCGTCTGACTCCTGGGAAGGAGCTGACAGCGAGTCATAACTACATAAGTTGAATATACTTTCGTTACGTGGAAGTATTTTTATCGAATGAAATACAACAGGAACCTTCGCTTGGTGTCAATTGTGTGTTATCCAATGGGAAAAATTGGAACCTAAGGAGGGAACCGGTGCTCAAGACAGAAAACGACATTAGTCATGCTCCAAACGATTATAAGAAAGTGCTGCATTAAGTTTCCATTGTATCGGGGTAATCTTATCTTTTCAGAAAGTATATCATCATGTCTTTCAAATTGATATTTGACTTCATGACATTAATTTAGTTGCAAAATATTAAAGGCATGTTGAACTAACCTTCGTTGCAGATTTTATTTACACTCACTACTGTTCCGACAATTAATTGAATTCGCTTGATTCTAACCCAGTTGAACCTTTTTTATTCGTAGTGGCAGCAAACATAAGAAAGGTCTTCAACAAGCTTAACGATGGATAATGACCCGACAATGACAGACGCCTCCCACGAGGGTCTTACTTTATAGAGTTAATATATAACATAACTTGGTTTCATTTTTATGTTGTTGCCTACAAAATTGTTTCTGTTGATAAGCAAATTCATTGTAATGTGGGTTATTCCATTCTTGTACATGTGCAACAGAAATCATTCATCAACAACGCAAATATCATTCAGGAATGTTAAGAAAACCAAAAATAGACATTCCAAATATTATGTAAATTGCAAAGAAATTCGAACGACTTGTTTGATGCATTTATCAAACAAATGACACAATCTTTGACCTTCCCATCCAAGGCATGAAAGAGACACTTTAATTACCCAAGGTGCCAAAAGCCACTCAATGCAAATATTTCCAACCACAAAGTAAAAAAGCAAGTTTTTTTTCTTTTTCCGATGGGTGCTATCTGGTGAGAATACTATGGGGCGGGTACAGCCACATCACAAAAGCAAACGAGCCATTCGAAATTCGGCCATTAAACTCTGCCATTACACCCGCTGGATTTTATATTTGCATCCGTCTAGCCCCCTTTCAAGGTACTGGATTTTTCCTGGACCGCTTGGTAATTGCTTGCATATGGCGTCAGTGGGTGATTCCATCCAAACATTACAGAATGGTGATCTTGTTGGAGCGCCTTTTAATGACACTTCTATAAACCCGTAGAAAGGTTATATCCCCGAGTGTTAAGACTGTTATGCACTGATGATATGGTAAACAAGGGAAAGGCGAAAGGGCGCATTCGATTATCAACACGTGATCTTCCACATATCTCCGGTGCAAAAACTTTCAACATCCAAATTACAGTCTGAAGATACCCAATGGCAAGCCTGCGTCTGTGCTTTTAACATCCCCGACAACTTGACATACCTGGGAACTAAAGAGATCTGTTCCTCCCTAAATATCAGAAGAAGCCAATTTCAAGATTTAGGGCAACTAATACTCTTGAAGACATGGAATGACAGGGATATGTTTATGGTTTCATTAGAATAACAAATCATTCGGAACTCTCATTGACTTTATCCCCTTATGTGCGAATTCGCACAGAAAAATACACTTGGAAAAAAAGCAACTGGAAATATGTTATTAAAACTACCGACAGTTACTGCAACTGTTTTAACGAAACATATGGACGATTATTGCAAATTACTTAAACGCGAGAGAGCTACGTCCTTGTTACTGATCACATAGTTTTCCTATGGATTTAGCCAAGCATCATCTCCTCGAAGTGTATACAGACATGACAATTCAGCGAAAAGAACCGAATAAACCTGTATCACGGCTTTTACTGTGACAGCTTTTTATCCACAATAACACCAATTACCCGGCCAACAATGTAAAAACGCCTTGCAATTTTTAATGGTTTCCAACATGCAGGTTTATGATTGCCAGGGTAGCAGAAGAATGAAGCATACTTCCCTGCCTAGACACCATATACATGTATGTGATACACAGCAGTTTCAGAAAAGTGTAGAAATTCAAAAGAACAGCATACAGAAAAAAGCAGCGAAATGCCACCAAGAACATTGCAGCTGACAATAATTGTCCTGAAAGGGGGTCAACAGTCAGCAAAAACGGGTACAGAGACTTTTTAAAACTGTCTATCCGCAGAGAATTCCTATATGATTAAATGGAAACATAAGAACTCGATTTCAGTCAGCTGATAACTGCGCACAATCACTGCTGCATGCAGTATGCTGGAAATGACTGATCTCTAAACTCCTGTTTCATTTCTTCAAGTAGAAACTTCTCCACTATCTCCTTTTTCCAAGAGCTACTCTTAATTAGCCTTTTGCAAGTTAAATTTGAATAAAATCTGACACAGGAGAA